CCAGAGAGAGACCAGAGAGAGACCAGAGGGAGACCAGAGGGAGACCAGAGAGAGACCAGAGAGAGACCAGAAAGAGACCAGAGGGAGACCAGAGAGAGGCCAGAGAGAGACAAGAGAGAGAGACCAGAGAGAGACCAGAGAGAGACAAGAGAGAGACAAGAGAGATACCATAGAGAGACCAGAGGGAGACCAGAGAGAAAGACCAGAGAGAGACCAGAGAGAGACCAGAGAGAGACCAGAGGGAGACCAGAGAGAAAGACCAGAAAGAGACCAGAGAGAGACCAGAGAGAAAGACCAGAAAGAGACCAGAGAGAGACCAGAGACCAGAGTGAGACATTCATGGGCAAGGCTCAGAAACTGAACCATAGAGGACACATTGAAAGCCTGTACGTTCTGTGATGGGAGACCTCTGGGAGCGGCTGAGGCTGTGAACTGTTGTTGCGTCATTAGGCAAGACACTTAACCCACTTAACTAACAATTAACATGGACACTTAACCTTTATAACAACCATCATTTATAACTCTCTGGTCTCTCTCAGGCCTCTACTATACTCTCTCTCTCTCCCCCTGGTCTCTCTCTGGCCTCTCTCTCTTGTATCTCTCTCTCTGCTCTCTCCCTGGTCTCTCTCTTGTATCTCTCTCTCTCCCTGCTCTGGTGCCATCTATACATACACAGATAAACTTGCCCTTGCGATCCTAAACCCAGGGACACAGACTTAAGAGGCAGGATCCGAGTGTTTGTGGTCCCGACCTGCAGCGTTATCCCGTGTTTGTGCGGAGCGTGTGAGGCTAACTGCTAGCATACATATTTCATAGCCTCCTGGAAGTCTCCTCATCTCCCTCTCTTTGCTCTCTATCAAGGAAGGAGCCGATGGAGAGAACAGTCAGAGCCTCGAGCGAGGATTCAGACAGAAAGTTATTTTACTGTCACTGTTACTGCCCCGTCTCTCTGTCCCACACACTTTGGATATTGAGTTTTAACACTGGGCAAAAAGTATAAATATGAGAAATAAATACTTTAATGGAATGTTTTTTATCTTAATCTGACTCTTTGTGACTGCGGTAAAACATGATTCTTCAACAGGACAAATTTAGTTTTATTTCAAGAACTGTTGCTTTATTTTCTCAATCCAAAGAGACATTTATGTTTCTTTTTATATAAAAGATCATTTTGTTTAGTCTCGTTGGAGAATATAGTTTTAAGGCTCAGTCAGAATGTGTCAGATTATAATACATTTGGCCAAATTTGCTTCTTATCGGTCAATTTGGTCTCTCCTCTGGTCTCTCCCTGGTCCCCTCTGTAGTCTCTCTCTGGTCACTCTCTGGTCCCCTCTATAGTCTCTCTCTCTGGTCTCTTTCTGGTCTCTCCCCTGGTCTCTCCCCTGGTCTCTCCCCTGGTCTCTCCTCTGGTGTCTCCTCTGGTCTCTCCTCTGGTGTCTCCTCTGGTCTCTCCTCTGGTCTCTCCTCTGGTCTCTCCTCTGGTCTCTCCTCTGGTCTCTCTCTGGTCTCTCCTCTGGTCTCTCCTCTGGTGTCTCCTCTGGTGTCTCCTCTGGTGTCTCCTCTGGTGTCTCCTCTGGTCTCTCCTCTGGTCTCTCCTCTGGTCTCTCCTCTGGTCTCTCCTCTGGTCTCTCCTCTGGTCTCTCCTCTGGTCTCTCCTCTGGTCTCTCCTCTGGTCTCTCCTCTGGTCTCTCCTCTGGTCTCTCTCTGGTCTCTCTCTGGTCTCTCTCTGGTCTCTCCTCTGGTCTCTCCTCTGGTCTCTCCTCTGGTCTCTCCCTGGTCTCTCCTCTGGTCTCTCCCTGGTCTCTCTCTGGTCTCTCCTCTGGTCTCTCCCTGGTCTCTCCCTGGTCTCTGTTCTTTAGTGTTTTTCACCAGAAAACTGAAAACAGATGCTTTCTGTAATTCCCATTTTCACATTATTTGCCTAATTTTCCCTTTCAGTTTCCTGGACCTGCTGCAGTCGTAAATTAAAATTATTTTTGATTGATTTTTTTGGCTTTTAACAAAACACCAGAACCAACGGTGTCAACAGCGTCAATGAAACAGAAATGTGCTGCGAGAAAATTATCAGGCTTCAGTATCTAATAAACACTTCACTGCAAAAAGATTTAAAAGCCTGAGTGTCGGTCTCTCTCTCTCTGGTCTCTCTGTCTCGTCTCTCTCTCTCTGGTCTCTCTCTCTCTTGTCTGGTCTCTGTCTGGTCTCTCTCTGGTCTCTCTCTCTCTGGTCTCTCTCTCTCTGGTCTCTCCCTCTGGTCTCTCTCTCTGGTCTCTCCTCTGGTCTCTTTGTCTGGTCTCTCTCTGGTCTCTCTCTCTGGTCTCTCTCTCTCTGGTCTCTCCTCTTGTCTCTCTCTGGTCTCTCTCTATGGTCTCTCTCTCTGGTCTCTCTCTCTGGTCTCTCTCTCTGGTCTCTCTCTATGGTCTCTCTCTCTGGTCTCTCTCTCTGGTCTCTCTCTCTGGTCTCTCTCTCTCTGGTCTCTTTCTCTCTGGTCTCTCTCTCTCTGGTCTCTCTCCTCTGGTCTCTCTCTCTGGTCTCTCTCTATGGTCTCTCTCTCTGGTCTCTCTCTGGTCTCTCTCTCTGGTCTCTCTCTCTGGTCTCTCTCTCTGGTCTCTCTCTGGTCTCTCTCTCTCTGGTCTCGCTCTCTCTGGTCTCTCTCTGGTCTCTCTCTCTGGTCTCTCTCTCTGGTCTCTCTCTCTGGTCTCTCTCTCTGGTCTCTCTCTCTGGTCTCTCTCTCTCTGGTCTCTCTCTGGTCTCTCTCTGGTCTCTCTCTCTGGTCTCTCTCTCTCTGGTCTCTTTCTCTCTGGTCTCTCTCTCTCTGGTCTCTCTCTGGTCTCTCTCTATGGTCTCTCTCTCTGGTCTCTCTCTGGTCTCTCTCTGGTCTCTCTCTCTGGTCTCTCTCTCTGGTCTCTCTCTGGTCTCTCTCTCTCTGGTCTCGCTCTCTCTGGTCTCTCTCTGGTCTCTCTCTCTGGTCTCTCTCTCTGGTCTCTCTCTCTGGTCTCTCTCTGGTCTCTCTCTCTCTGGTCTCTGCTGCTCATTGACGTCAGACTCTCTTTAAAACTGTGTGAAGAGGCTGTTTCTGTGTTTGTGCTGGTGATGGACAGTGTTCTCATTAAAGGTCCAGAGGTGACACCAGGACACCAAAAATAACAACAACAAGCATCCACCCTTCTGCAGGTGAGGGTGAAGAACCATAAGAGACCATAAGTGAGACCATGTGGGAGCTATAAAGAAGCTAACAATACACACAGTATGAATATCCTCAAATGTGTCTGACGGGGAATGTACACAGTAGGCGTAAACAGCACGTACGCGTTTACTGCGCGCTCTCTGCGCGTAACATTTTTTTGGAGTATCTACACTGACCGTGCGCGCAGGTCCGCGTCTTCTGATGTTCTCCCTGTGTAGTCTATGGAGCGGTGTAGAGGACAGTACGAGCCAGAGGACTGATGTAGAGCAACACAAATCACATGCATGTGTTTGTCTTCATGGTCTCTGTGCGCTGGTTTGTCCAGACGCGAGACTTTATGAAAGAAAAAAAACGATGTCCAGAATCACTGTAAAACCTGCTGCTCCTCCTGCTGATGTTTAGACACAAGTGCAGTGTGCGTGCAGATGTGATCTAAAGCCAAGGACCGCTAGAAAAATAAAGTTTTACATGAGATTTCAATGGGAGACGCGTTGGTGCGCGCACAAAATTAGAAATCCATCCTAAATTAGAGCGCAGCTTCGCGTCACATGTCCGTCATACGCGCGTATAACGCTAGAAGTGTAAATATCATCATAGGTTAACATGGAAAAAAGTTACGCGCGTCTGCTGCGCGTATAACGCGTACGTGCTGTAACGCGTGATGTGTAAATTAGCAGTAACGCGTACGTGCTGTAACGCGTGATGTGTAAATTAGCAGTGAGTCTGAACAATCAGTCTGAGGATGAAGGTGTTCGTCATCATCACATTCATTCAGATAGGGTTTCTTTGCCATTTGCAGTAAAACCACTTTGGAATACACGTGCAAGTTCATAAAAGGTAATAAAAAGTACAGAAACAATCATCTCCGTGAGACCAATCAACAATAACAGCTTCAACACAAGATCAGGAAAGGTCTGAGAACAGCTGAAAGAAGCTGTTAGCATGTTAGCATGTTAGGAAGGTTAGCATATCCAGATGTCTTGTAGCCAACGACATCTTCTGCCAGAGGGAAGAAGCTGGAACATGGTTTGTCCAGGGTCAGAAGAGTCACTGATTATTTTAAGATCTGGATTTAAGATTCTGGATTCAAACAGTCTTCTGTCAGAGCGGAGCACCTCTCTATGGTCTCCCTCTAGTCTCTCTCTCTCTGGTCTCCCTCTGGTCTCCCTCTGGTCTCTCTCTGGTCTCTCTCTGGTCTCTCTCTGGTCTCTCTCTGGTCTCTCTCTGGTCTCTCTATGGTCTCTCTCTGGTCTCTCTCTCTGGTCTCTCTCTCTGGTCTCTCTCTGGTCTCTCTCTCTGGTCTCTCTCTCTGGTCTCTCTCTCTGGTCTCTCTCTCTGGTCTCTCTCTGGTCTCTCTCTGGTCTCTCTCTGGTCTCTCTCTCTGGTCTCTCTCTCTGGTCTCTCTCTGGTCTCTCTCTCTGGTCTCTCTCTCTGGTCTCTCTCTCTGGTCTCTCTCTCTGGTCTCTCTCTGGTCTCTCTCTCTGGTCTCTCTCTCTGGTCTCTCTCTGGTCTCTCTCTGGTCTCTCTCTCTGGTCTCTCTCTGGTCTCTCTATGGTCTCTCTCTGGTCCATGGTGCAGCGATAAAGTGAAGCAGAGTCTCAGAGTTTCTGGTTAAATATCTAAGTTTCAGCAGAAAAAAAGACCCAGACAAGTTTTCTTAACGACCTCAGGAGTGTTTTTGTCCCATTTCAGACCATTCAGGATCCAAAGAAATTAAACATCAGCGTTTAGTCTGAAAAACACCATTGCTATTATGACCTCAAAATAACAACTCATTTATGACGACAAATGAAGCACGATCTCACGCAGCAGCTCCATGTTCCAGCTCCTTCCCACAGACCATGGCTTCTTTTCCCACACACAGGTCCCTCCTGCTGACAGCGGCGAGTCTGAACCGGCTCCAGCGAGACACAAAATGAACAACTGTAGAGGCGAGACGGCCCAAAGCGCTGATCCAGCCGTCTGTCAGAGAGAGCCGTCAGAGAGAGCCGTCAGAGAGAGCCGTCAGAGAGAGCCGTCAGAGAGAGCCGTCAGAGAGAGCCGTCAGAGAGAGCCGTCAGAGAGAGCTCTGACCAACGCTCTGGGTCTGTAGATACTGCTGGACCCTGACTTGATGTGGGATACAGGGGGATGTCTGCAGTCTCTCCTCAGCTCTGACCTGCGGCTGGAGGCGCCTTCACTGTTCCAGACTAGAGTCCAGACTAGAGTCCAGACTACAGCCCAGAGTAGAGTCCAGACTACAGCCCAGACTACAGCCCAGAGTCCAGACTACAGTCCAGAGTTCAGACTAGAGTCCACACTAGAGTCCAGACTACAGCCCAGAGTCCAGACTACAGTCCAGAGTTCAGACTAGAGTTCAGACTAGAGTCCAGACTAGAGTCCAGACTACAGCCCAGAGTCCAGACTACAGTCCAGACTACAGTCCAGAGTTCAGACTAGAGTTCAGACTAGAGTCCAGACTAGAGTCCAGACTACAGTCCAGACTACAATCCAGACTAGAGTCCAGACTAGAGTCCAGACTAGAGTCCAGACTAGAGTCCAGACTACAGTCCAGACTACAGTCCAGACTACAGTCCAGACTAGAGTCCAGACTAGAGTCCAGACTACAGCCCAGAGTCCAGACTACAGTCCAGACTAGAGTCCAGACTAGAGTCCAGACTACAGCCCAGAGTCCAGACTACAGCCCAGAGTCCAGACTACAGTCCAGAGTTCAGACTAGAGTCCAGACTAGAGTCCAGACTAGAGTCCAGACTAGAGTCCAGACTACAGCCCAGAGTCCAGACTACAGTCCAGACTACAGTCCAGACTAGAGTCCAGACTAGAGTCCAGACTACAGCCCAGAGTCCAGACTACAGTCCAGAGTCCAGACTAGAGTCCAGACTAGAGTCCAGACTAGAGTCCAGACTAGAGTCCAGAGTCCAGACTATAGCCCAGAGTCCAGACTACAGTCCAGACTACAGCCCAGAGTCCAGACTACAGCCCAGAGTTCAGACTAGAGTCCAGACTACAGTCCAGACTACAATCCAGACTAGAGTCCAGACTAGAGTCCAGACTACAGTCCAGACTACAGTCCAGACTACAGTCCAGACTAGAGTCCAGACTAGAGTCCAGACTACAGCCCAGAGTCCAGACTACAGTCCAGACTAGAGTCCAGACTAGAGTCCAGACTACAGCCCAGAGTCCAGACTACAGTCCAGACTAGAGTCCAGACTAGAGTCCAGACTATAGCCCAGAGTCCAGACTATAGCCCAGAGTCCAGACTATAGCCCAGAGTCCAGACTATAGCCCAGAGTCCAGACTACAGTCCAGACTACAGCACAGAGTCCAGACTACAGCCCAGAGTCCAGACTAGAGTCCAGACTAGAGTCCAGACTAGAGTCCAGACTAGAGTCCAGACTAGAGTCCAGACTACAGTCCAGACTACAGTCCAGACTACAATCCAGACTAGAGTCCAGACTAGAGTCCAGACTACAGCCCAGAGTAGAGTCCAGACTACAGCCCAGACTACAGCCCAGAGTCCAGACTACAGTCCAGAGTTCAGACTAGAGTCCAGACTAGAGTCCAGACTAGAGTCCAGACTACAGCCCAGAGTCCAGACTACAGTCCAGAGTTCAGACTAGAGTCCAGACTAGAGTCCAGACTAGAGTCCAGACTACAGCCCAGAGTCCAGACTACAGTCCAGAGTCCAGACTACAGTCCAGACTACAGTCCAGACTAGAGTCCAGACTACAGTCCAGACTAGAGTCCAGACTAGAGTCCAGACTAGAGTCCAGACTAGAGTCCAGACTACAGCCCAGAGTCCAGACTACAGTCCAGAGTCCAGACTACAGTCCAGACTAGAGTCCAGAGTCCAGACTATAGCCCAGAGTCCAGACTACAGTCCAGACTACAGCCCAGAGTTCAGACTAGAGTCCAGACTAGAGTCCAGACTACAGTCCAGACTACAATCCAGACTAGAGTCCAGACTAGAGTCCAGACTAGAGTCCAGACTACAGTCCAGACTACAGTCCAGACTACAGTCCAGACTAGAGTCCAGACTAGAGTCCAGACTACAGCCCAGAGTCCAGACTACAGTCCAGACTAGAGTCCAGACTAGAGTCCAGACTACAGCCCAGAGTCCAGACTAGAGTCCAGACTAGAGTCCAGACTAGAGTCCAGACTAGAGTCCAGAGTCCAGACTATAGCCCAGAGTCCAGACTATAGCCCAGAGTCCAGACTATAGCCCAGAGTCCAGACTATAGCCCAGAGTCCAGACTACAGTCCAGACTACAGCCCAGAGTCCAGACTACAGCCCAGAGTTCAGACTAGAGTCCAGACTAGAGTCCAGACTAGAGTCCAGACTACAATCCAGACTAGAGTCCAGACTAGAGTCCAGACTAGAGTCCAGACTACAGTCCAGACTACAGTCCAGACTAGAGTCCAGACTAGAGTCCAGACTACAGCCCAGAGTCCAGACTACAGTCCAGACTACAGCCCAGAGTCCAGACTACAGTCCAGACTACAGTCCAGACTAGAGTCCAGACTACAGCCCAGAATCCAGACTACAGTCCAGACTACAGTCCAGACTACAGTCCAGACTACAGCCCAGAATCCAGACTACAGTCCAGACTACAGTCCAGACTAGAGTCCAGACTAGAGTCCAGACTAGAGTCCAGACTACAGTCCAGACTACAGTCCAGACTAGAGTCCAGACTAGAGTCCAGACTACAGCCCAGAGTCCAGACTACAGTCCAGACTAGAGTCCAGACTAGAGTCCAGACTAGAGTCCAGACTACAGCCCAGAATCCAGACTACAGCCCAGACTAGAGTCCAGACTACAGCCCAGACTAGAGTCCAGACTACAGCCCAGACTAGAGTCCAGACTAGAGTCCAGACTACAGCCCAGAGTCCAGACTACAGTCCAGACTAGAGTCCAGACTAGAGTCCAGACTACAGCCCAGAGTCCAGACTACAGCCCAGAGTCCAGACTACAGTCCAGAGTTCAGACTAGAGTCCAGACTAGAGTCCAGACTAGAGTCCAGACTAGAGTCCAGACTACAGCCCAGAGTCCAGACTACAGTCCAGACTACAGTCCAGACTAGAGTCCAGACTAGAGTCCAGACTACAGCCCAGAGTCCAGACTACAGTCCAGAGTCCAGACTAGAGTCCAGACTAGAGTCCAGACTACAGCCCAGAGTCCAGACTACAGTCCAGACTAGAGTCCAGACTAGAGTCCAGAGTCCAGACTATAGCCCAGAGTCCAGACTACAGTCCAGAGTCCAGACTATAGCCCAGAGTCCAGACTACAGTCCAGACTACAGCCCAGAGTCCAGACTACAGCCCAGAGTTCAGACTAGAGTCCAGACTACAGTCCAGACTACAGTCCAGACTACAGTCCAGACTAGAGTCCAGACTACAGCCCAGAATCCAGACTACAGTCCAGACTACAGTCCAGACTACAGTCCAGACTACAGTCCAGACTAGAGTCCAGACTACAGCCCAGAATCCAGACTACAGTCCAGACTACAGTCCAGACTAGAGTCCAGACTAGAGTCCAGACTACAGTCCAGACTACAGTCCAGACTAGAGTCCAGACTAGAGTCCAGACTACAGCCCAGAGTCCAGACTACAGTCCAGACTACAGTCCAGACTAGAGTCCAGACTAGAGTCCAGACTAGAGTCCAGACTACAGCCCAGAATCCAGACTGCAGCCCAGACTAGAGTCCAGACTACAGCCCAGACTAGAGTCCAGACTACAGCCCAGACTAGAGTCCAGACTAGAGTCCAGACTACAGCCCAGAGTCCAGACTACAGTCCAGACTAGAGTCCAGACTACAGTCCAGACTACAGCCCAGAGTCCAGACTACAGTCCAGACTAGAGTCCAGACTAGAGTCCAGAGTCCAGACTATAGCCCAGAGTCCAGACTACAGTCCAGAGTCCAGACTATAGCCCAGAGTCCAGACTACAGTCCAGACTACAGCCCAGAGTCCAGACTACAGCCCAGAGTTCAGACTAGAGTTCAGACTAGAGTCCAGACTAGAGTCCAGACTAGAGTCCAGACTAGAGTCCAGACTAGAGTCCAGACTACAGTCCAGACTAGAGTCCAGACTAGAGTCCAGACTACAGCCCAGAATCCAGACTACAGCCCAGACTAGAGTCCAGACTACAGCCCAGACTAGAGTCCAGACTACAGCCCAGACTAGAGTCCAGACTACAGCCCAGAGTCCAGACTACAGTCCAGACTAGAGTCCAGACTAGAGTCCAGACTACAGCCCAGAGTCCAGACTACAGTCCAGACTAGAGTCCAGACTAGAGTCCAGAGTCCAGACTATAGCCCAGAGTCCAGACTACAGTCCAGAGTCCAGACTATAGCCCAGAGTCCTGACTACAGTCCAGACTACAGCCCAGAGTCCAGACTACAGCCCAGAGTTCAGACTAGAGTCCAGACTAGAGTCCAGACTACAGTCCAGACTACAGTCCAGACTAGAGTCCAGACTACAGCCCAGAATCCAGACTACAGTCCAGACTACAGTCCAGACTACAGCCCAGAATCCAGACTACAGTCCAGACTACAGTCCAGACTAGAGTCCAGACTAGAGTCCAGACTAGAGTCCAGACTACAGTCCAGACTACAGTCCAGACTAGAGTCCAGACTAGAGTCCAGACTACAGCCCAGAGTCCAGACTACAGTCCAGACTAGAGTCCAGACTAGAGTCCAGACTAGAGTCCAGACTACAGCCCAGAATCCAGACTACAGCCCAGACTAGAGTCCAGACTACAGCCCAGACTAGAGTCCAGACTACAGCCCAGACTAGAGTCCAGACTAGAGTCCAGACTACAGCCCAGAGTCCAGACTACAGTCCAGACTAGAGTCCAGACTAGAGTCCAGACTACAGCCCAGAGTCCAGACTACAGTCCAGACTAGAGTCCAGACTAGAGTCCAGAGTCCAGACTATAGCCCAGAGTCCAGACTACAGTCCAGAGTCCAGACTATAGCCCAGAGTCCAGACTACAGTCCAGACTACAGCCCAGAGTCCAGACTACAGCCCAGAGTTCAGACTAGAGTCCAGACTAGAGTCCAGACTAGAGTCCAGACTAGAGTCCAGACTAGAGTCCAGACTAGAGTCCAGACTACAGTCCAGACTACAGTCCAGACTAGAGTCCAGACTACAGTCCAGACTACAGTCCAGACTACAGTCCAGACTAGAGTCCAGACTACAGCCCAGAGTCCAGACTACAGTCCAGACTAGAGTCCAGACTAGAGTCCAGAGTCCAGACTATAGCCCAGAGTCCAGACTACAGTCCAGAGTCCAGACTATAGCCCAGAGTCCAGACTACAGTCCAGACTACAGCCCAGAGTCCAGACTACAGCCCAGAGTCCAGACTACAGTCCAGACTAGAGTCCAGACTACAGCCCAGAATCCAGACTACAGTCCAGACTAGAGTCCAGACTACAGTCCAGACTACAGTCCAGACTAGAGTCCAGACTAGAGTCCAGACTACAGCCCAGACTAGAGTCCAGACTACAGCCCAGACTAGAGTCCAGACTACAGCCCAGACTACAGTCCAGACTACAGTCCAGACCCACACCAGAACTGGGACTTACAAATCGGATTCTTATCGCTCACACTAGACACTATATATACAGAATATATATCTCTCTCTTTTTCACAATCTTCCTTCTCTTTTCCTTGTTCTCTGGTCTCTCTCTGTTCTCTCTCTAGTCTGGCTTTGCTCTGGTCTCTATCATTCTCTCTCTCTTTACTCTGGTCTCTCTCATTCTCTCTCTCTTTACTCTGGTCCCTCTCATTCTCTCTCCGGTCTCTCTCTATTCACTGGTCTCTCTCCTTCCTGTGTTCTCCCGTGGTCTCTCTCCTTCCTCTGTTCTCCCGTGGTCTCTCTCCTTCCTCTGTTCTCTGTGGTCTCTCTCCTTCCTCTGTTCTCCGTGGTCTCTCTCCTTCCTGTGTTCTCCGTGGTCTCTCTCCTTCCTGTGTTCTCCGTGGTCTCTCTCCTTCCTGTGTTTCCCGTGGTCTCTCTCCTTCCTGAGTTTCCCGTGGTCTCTCTCCTTCCTCTGTTCTCCGTGGTCTCTCTCCTTCCTCTGTCTTCCCTGGTCTCTCTCCTTCCTCTGTTCTCCGTGGTCTCTCTCCTTCCTCTGTTCTCCTTGGTCTCTCTCCTTCCTCTGTTCTCCGTGGTCTCTCTCCTTCCTCTGTTCTCCGTGGTCTCTCTCCTTCCTCTGTCTTCCCTGGTCTCTCTCCTTCCTCTGTTCTCCGTGGTCTCTCTCCTTCCTCTGTTCTCCTTGGTCTCTCTCCTTCCTCTGTTCTCCGTGGTCTCTCTCCTTCCTGTGTTCTCCGTGGTCTCTCTCCTTCCTGTGTTCTCCGTGGTCTCTCTCCTTCCTGTGTTCTCCGTGGTCTCTCTCCTTCCTGTGTTCTCCCGTGGTCTCCCTCCTTCCTCTGTTCTCCGTGGTCTCTCTCCTTCCTGTGTTCTCCCGTGGTCTCTCTCCTTCCTCTGTTCTCCGTGGTCTCTCTCCTTCCTCTGTTCTCCGTGGTCTCTCTCCTTCCTCTGTTCTCCGTGGTCTCTCTCCTTCCTGTGTTCTCCGTGGTCTCTCCTCCTTCCTGTGTTTCCCGTGGTCTCTCTCCTTCCTGAGTTTCCCGTGGTCTCTCTCCTTCCTGTGTTCTCCGCGGTCTCTCTCCTTCCTGTGTTGTCCGTGGTCTCTCTCCTTCCTGTGTTTCCCGTGGTCTCTCTCCTTCCTGAGTTTCCCGTGGTCTCTCTCCTTCCTCTGTTCTCCGTGGTCTCTCTCCTTCCTGTGTTCTCCGTGGTCTCTCTCCTTCCTGTGTTCTCCCGTGGTCTCTCTCCTTCCTCTGTTCTCCCGTGGTCTCTCTCCTTCCTGTGCGTTTGCCTTTGCAGCAGAGGAGAGTACAGTCTATCTATAGCTCTGCTCTCTTTGCCTCGGGGCAGGATGAAATATGGATGTGTCGCTGGTCTGTGCTGCAGCGGAACACGGCGAGAAGACGGTGACCTCTGCGTGCTACAGACACCCGCTACAGACACCCGCTACAGACACCCGCTACAGACACCCGCTACAGACACCCGCTACAGACACCCGCTACAGGCACCCGCTACAGGCACCCGCTACAGGCACCCGCTACAGGCACCCGCTACAGACACCCGCTACAGACACCCGCTACAGACACCCGCTACAGACACCCGCTACAGACACCCGCTACAGACACCCGCTACAGACACCCGCTACAGTCACCCGCTACAGGCACCCGCTACAGGCACCCGCTACAGACACCCGCTACAGACACCCGCTACAGACACCCGCTACAGGCACCCGCTACAGGCACCCGCTACAGGCACCCGCTACAGACACCCGCTACAGACACCCGCTACAGACACCCGCTACAGGCACCCGCTACAGGCACCCGCTACAGGCACCCGCTACAGGCACCCGCTACAGACACCCGCTACAGACACCCGCTACAGACACCCGCTACAGACACCCGCTACAGACACCCGCTACAGACACCCGCTACAGACACCGCTACAGACACCCGCTACAGACACCCGCTACAGACACCCGCTACAGACACCCGCTACAGACACCCGCTACAGACACCCGCTACAGACACCCGCTACAGACACCCTGCTACAGACACCCGCTACAGACACCCGCTACAGACACCCGCTACAGACACCCCGCTACAGACACCCCGCTACAGACACCCCGCTACAGACACCCGCTACAGACACCCGCTACAGACACCCGCTACAGACACCCGCTACAGGCACCCGCTACAGGCACCCGCTACAGGCACCCGCTACAGACACCCGCTACAGACACCCGCTACAGACACCCGCTACAGGCACCCGCTACAGGCACCCGCTACAGGCACCCGCTACAGGCACCCGCTACAGGCACCCGCTACAGACACCCGCTACAGACACCCGCTACAGGCACCCGCTACAGACACCCGCTACAGACACCCGCTACAGACACCCGCTACAGACACCCGCTACAGACACCCGCTACAGCACCCGCTACAGGCACCCGCTACAGGCACCCGCTACAGGCACCCGCTACAGGCACCCGCTACAGACACCCGCTACAGACACCCGCTACAGACACCCGCTACAGACACCCGCTACAGACACCCGCTACAGACACCCGCTACAGACACCCGCTACAGACACCCGCTACAACACCCGCTACAGGCACCCGCTACAGGCACCCGCTACAGACACCCGCTACAGACACTACCCGCTACAGACACCCGCTACAGACACCCGCTACAGGCACCCGCTACAGGCACCCGCTACAGGCACCCGCTACAGGCACCCGCTACAGACACCCGCTACAGACACCCGCTACAGGCACCCGCTACAGGCACCCGCTACAGGCACCCGCTACAGGCACCCGCTACAGACACCCGCTACAGACACCCGCTACAGACACCCGCTACAGACACCCGCTACAGACACCCGCTACAGACACCCGCTACAGACACCCGCTACAGACACCCCGCTACAGACACCCGCTACAGACACCCGCTACAGACACCCGCTACAGACACCCGCTACAGACACCCGCTACAGACGAGACACCTGCTACAGACACCCGCTACAGACACCCGCTACAGACACCCGCTACAGACACCCGCTACAGACACCCGCTACAGACACCCCGCTACAGACACCCCGCTACAGACACCCGCTACAGACACCCGCTACAGACACCCGCTACAGACACCCGCTACAGACACCCGCTGCTACAGACACCCGCTGCTACAGACACCCGCTGCTACAGACACCCGCTACAGACACCCGCTACAGGCACCCGCTACAGACACCCGCTACAGACACCCGCTACAGACACCCGCTACAGACACCCGCTCAGAACCGCTACACAGACACCCGCTACAGACACCCGCTACAGACACCCGCTACAGACACCCGCTACAGACACCCGCTACAGACACCCGCTACAGACACCCGCTACAGACACCCGCTACAGACACCCGCTACAGACACCCGCTACAGACACCCGCTACAGACACCCGCTACATACACCCGCTACATACACCCGCTACAGGCACCCGCTACAGGCACCCGCTACAGACACCCGCTACAGACACCCGCTACAGGCACCCGCTACAGACACCCGCTACAGACACCCGCTACAGGCACCCGCTACAGACACCCGCTACAGACACCCGCTACAGACACCCGCTACAGACACCCGCTACAGACACCCGCTACAGGCACCCGCTACAGACACCCGCTACAGACACCCGCTACAGACACCCGCTACAGACACCCGCTACAGACACCCGCTAGACACCCGCTACAGACACCCGCTACAGACACCCGCTACAGACACCCGCTACAGGCACCCGCTACAGGCACCCGCTACAGACACACCCGCTACAGGCACCCGCTACCCCTAGACACCCGCTAGACACCCGCTACAGACACCCGCTAGACACCCGCTACAGGCACCCGCTACAGACACCCGCTAGACACCCGCTACAGGCACCCGCTACAGACACCCGCTACAGGCACCCGCTACAGACACCCGCTAGAGACACCCGCTACAGACACCCGCTACAGACACCCGCTAGACACCCGCTACAGACACCCGCTACAGACACCCGCTACAGGCACCCGCTACAGGCACCCGCTACAGGCACCCGCTACAGGCACCCGCTACAGACACCCGCTACAGACACCCGCTACAGACACCCGCTACAGACACCCGCTACAGACACCCGCTACAGGCACCCGCTACAGACACCCGCTACAGACACCCGCTACAGACACCCGCTACAGACACCCGCTAGACACCCGCTACAGACACCCGCTACAGACACCCGCTACAGACACCCGCTACAGGCACCCGCTACAGGCACCCGCTACAGACACCCGCTACAGGCACCCGCTACAGACACCCGCTAGACACCCGCTACAGACACCCGCTAGACACCCGCTACAGGCACCCGCTACAGACACCCGCTAGACACCCGCTACAGGCACCCGCTACAGACACCCGCTACAGGCACCCGCTACAGACACCCGCTAGACACCCGCTACAGACACCCGCTACAGACACCCGCTAGACACCCGCTACAGACACCCGCTACAGACACCCGCTACAGGCACCCGCTACAGGCACCTGCTACAGGCACCCGCTACAGGCACCCGCTACAGGCACCCGCTACAGACACCCGCTACAGACACCCGCTACAGACACCCGCTAGACACCCGCTACAGACACCCGCTACAGACACCCGCTACAGACACCCGCTACAGACACCCGCTACAGACACCCGCTACAGACCACCCGCTACAGGCACCCGCTACAGGCACCCGCTACAGACACCCGCTACAGACACCCATTACAGGCACCCGCTACAGACACCCGCTAGACACCCGCTACAGACACCCGCTACAGACACCCGCTAGACACCCGCTACAGGCACCCGCTACAGACACCCGCTACAGGCACCCGCTACAGACACCCGCTACAGGCACCCGCTACAGACACCCGCTAGACACCCGCTACAGACACCCGCTAGACACCCGCTACAGACACCCGCTACAGGCACCCGCTACAGGCACCCGCTACAGGCACCCGCTACAGACACCCGCTACAGACACCCGCTACAGACACCCGCTACAGGCACCCGCTACAGGCACCCGCTACAGGCACCCGCTACAGGCACCCGCTACAGGCACCCGCTACAGGCACCCGCTACAGGCACCCGCTACAGGCACCCGCTACAGGCACCCGCTACAGGACACCCGCTACAGACACCCGCTACAGACACCCGCTACAGGACACCCGCTACAGGCACCCGCTACAGGCACCCGCTACAGGCACCCGCTACCACAGCACCCGCTACAGGCACCCGCTACAGACACCCGCTACAGACACCGCTACAGCACCCGCTACAGGCACCCGCTACAGACACCCGCTACAGACACCCGCTACAGACACCCGCTACAGACACCCGCTACAGACACCCCGCTACAGGCACCCGCGACAGACACCCGCTACAGACACCCCGCTACAGGCACCCGCTACAGACACCCGCTACAGACACCCGCTACAGGCACCCGCTACAGGCACCCGTTACAGGCACCCGCTACAGACACCCGCTACAGACACCCGCTACAGGCACCCGCTAGACACCCGCTAGACACCCGCTACAGACACCCGCTACAGGCACCCGCTACAGGCACCCGCTACAGGCACCCGCTACAGGCACCCGCTACAGACACCCGCTACAGACACCCGCTACAGGCACCCGCTACAGGCACCCGCTACAGGCACCCGCTACAGGCACCCGCTACAGACACCCGCTACAGGCACCCGCTACAGGCACCCGCTACAGACACCCGCTACAGACACCCGCTACAGACACCCGCTACAGACACCCGCTACAGACACCCGCTCCCAGGTCCCACAGACTCAGGCTCCGCACGCACCGCTGTCCTTTAAAGAAAACCATAATGTTCTGAGCGTGTGCGGCACTTGAGAGAACAGTGACCTAAAAACACGCATGAATTATTCCAGATGTGAAAGTTTGATGAGCTGCGGACGGTGACGCCAGGCTCTGTCGGAAACACAGCTTTACACAGCTTCCTACGGCTGGGTTTATGTAGATACTGTATGTGCCGCCATGTCTGTAGTTTAACACTATTATAGATACTGTATGTGCCGCCATGTTTGTAGTTTAACACTATTATAGATACTGTATGTGCCGCCATGTTTGTAGTTTAACACTATTATAGATACTGTATGTGCCGCCATGTTTGTAGTTTAACACTATTATAGATACTGTATGTGCCGCCATGTTTGTAGTTTAACACTATTATAGATACTGTATGTGCCGCCATGTTTGTAGTTTAACACTGTTATAGATACTGTACATGTGCCGCCATGTTTGTAGTTTAACACTATTATAGATACTGTATGTGCCGCCATGTTTGTAGTTTAACACTATTATAGATACTGAATGTGCCGCCAGGTTTGTAGTCTAACACTATTAAAGATACTGTATGTGCCGCCATGTTTGTAGTTTAACACTATTATAGATACTGAATGTGCCGCCATGTTTGTAGTTTAACACTATTATTACACTTATTCAACATTTTTGAGAATTATTTTCTTATAGCATGACATACTTAGAGGGAGACTAGAGAGAGACCGGAGAGAGACCGGAGAGAGAGACCAGAGAGAGTCTGGAGATAGCAGAGAGAGACCAGAGAGAGACCAGAGAGAGACCAGAGAAAGACCAGAGAAAGACCAGAGAGAGAGACCAGAGAGAGACCAGAGAAAGACCAGAGAGAGACCAGAGAGAGAGAGACCAGAGAGAGACCAGAGAGAGACCAGAGAGAGACCAGAGAGAGACCAGAGAGAGACCAGAGAGAGACCAGAGAGAGACCAGAGAAAGACCAGAGAGAGACCAGAGAGAGACCAGAGAGAGACCAGAGAGAGACCAGAGAGAGACCAGAGAAAGACCAGAGAAAGACCAGAGAAAGACCAGAGAGAGACCAGAGAAAGACCAGAGAAAGACCAGAGAAAGAGAGACCAGAGAAAGACCAGAGAAAGAGAGACCAGAGAAAGAGAGACCAGAGAAAGAGAGACCAGAGAAAGACCAGAGAAAGACCAGAGAAAGAGAGACCAGAGAAAGAGAGACCAGAGAAAGACCAGAGAGAGACCAGAGAGGGACCAGAATTTTCCCTTAATACGATTATGAAGTGTCTAAAAACTAGTAAAATAATCTTAGTATTATGAAGACAAACATTCAAACAGAAAAACTTCCGAAGATGTTACTGTTGTCCAGTGAGTGGGATGTCAGTGCGTAAATGCTCATAGCTGATATATTGACTGGAGTTGGAGAGAGAGACTTTATGAGAGAGGCCTCCCCCATTACGCAGCCGAGCGTCCCAAAACCACATTTCACAACAGCCTCTTGGACCTGGCTCTCTCTCTGACGGACCATCGACCCGGGCATCGATCTGCTGTGGCCTCGGTGCTCACAAACCCCTCTCGGCTGGTGTGCTTTTCTCCCCGTCTGCGTCTGCCGTACACAGACGCACCGAGGATCACGTTACACTACAGGCATTCTTCTTCTTCTTCTTCTTCTCTTTTTGCAGGATTGACAGAATAACAGAATCACGGTCCTGAGGTTTTTGTTACTCGGGTTCATCAATCATTACTGAGATAATGTAAAGTTTAATGTGCAATATAGAGCCACATGTGTCCACTGTCACTTTGTCCTAGCCTGGTCTTACCACACCATTGTACTCATTTCATTTTGTACTGAGGTCTGGATTGTCTCCATTGACTCCGTGAACAGGTGGGAGGGGCTAACTCCTTTTGCAGATTGAAACCATTGGATCTGAGTTTACTGTGACGTATGTAATGAGACCGAGTGATAGAGGCATTTAGCATTTAGCCTAGCATTAGCATGTAGCCTAGCTTTAGCCTTTAGCCTAGCTTTAGCCTTTAGCCTAGCTTTAGCCCTCTCCTTTGCCACTACCGGAGCCCGTGAGGAGTAGAGCCACAACATCTTCACCTCAATGACATTTACTAAACATTCCTCTTGCTCCGGCTTCAGTTTCTTGATATTTGGATTGAACCAGAACAGATTATTTTACTATCGCATTCTCCGACAAACTACAACCAGCAAATTCAGCACAAACTCTTGACGTCACCGACACCGACCTACAACACCCGCCTCCCCCGCTCTCTGATTGGTCGGAGGAGATTCAACCGAGGAAACTGCAGCCACTAGGATCAGACCCAGACGTACATGTAGGAAATGACCATGGACCAGAGTTTACACATGGTAAGACCAGACGTACATGTAGGAAATGATCATGGACCAGAGTTTACACATGGTAAGACCAGACGTACATGTAGGAAATGACCATGGACCAGAGTTTACACATGGTAAGGCCAGACGTACATGTAGGAAATGATCATGGACCAGAGTTTACACATGGTAAGACCAGACGTACATGTAGGAAATGACCATGGACCAGAGTTTACACATGGTAAGACCAGACGTACATGTAGGAAATGACCATGGACCAGAGTTTACACATGGTAAGGCCAGACGTACATGTAGGAAATGATCATGGACCAGAGTTTACACATGGTAAGACCAGACGTACATGTAGGAAATGACCATGGACCAGAGTTTACACATGGTAAGACCAGACGTACATGTAGGAAATGACCATGGACCAGAGTTTACACATGGTAAGACCAGACGTACATGTAGGAAATGATCATGGACCAGAGTTTACACATGGTAAGACCAGACGTACATGTAGGAAATGATCATGGACCAGAGTTTACACATGGTAAGACCAGACGTACATGTAGGAAATGACCATGGACCAGAGTTTACACATGGTAAGACCAGACGTACATGTGGGAAATGACCATGGACCAGAGTTTACACATGGTAAGACCAGACGTACATGTAGGAAATGATCATGGACCAGAGTTTACACATGGTAAGACCAGACGTACATGTAGGAGATGACCATGGACCAGAGTTTACACATGGTAAGACCAGACGTACATGTAGGAAATGACCATGGACCAGAGTTTACACATGGTAAAACCAGACGTACATGTAGGAAATGATCATGGACCAGAGTTTACACATGGTAAGACCAGACGTACATGTAGGAAATGACCATGGACCAGAGTTTACACATGGTAAGACCAGACGTACATGTAGGAAATGATCATGGACCAGAGTTTACACATGGTAAGACCAGACGTACATGTAGGAAATGATCATGGACCAGAGTTTACACATGGTAAGACCAGACGTACATGTAGGAGATGACCATGGACCAGAGTTTACACATGGTAAGACCAGACGTACATGTAGGAAATGATCATGGACCAGAGTTTACACATGGTAAAACCAGACGTACATGTAGGAGATGACCATGGACCAGAGTTTACACATGGTAAGACCAGACGTACATGTAGGAAATGATCATGGACCAGAGTTTACACATGGTAAGACCAGACGTACATGTAGGAGATGACCATGGACCAGAGTTTACACATGGTAAGACCAGACGTACATGTAGGAAATGATCATGGACCAGAGTTTACACATGGTAAGACCAGACGTACATGTAGGAAATGATCATGGACCAGAGTTTACACATGGTAAGACCAGACGTACATGTAGGAAATGATCATGGACCAGAGTTTACACATGGTAAGACCAGACGTACATGTAGGAGATGACCATGGACCAGAGTTTACACATGGTAAGACCAGACGTACATGTAGGAGATGACCATGGACCAGAGTTTACACATGGTAAGACCAGACGTACATGTAGGAGATGATCATGGACCAGAGTTTACACATGGTAAGACCAGAGTTAGCTTAGATCCTTGCGATGCTAATGTACAGATGTAAACATACGGCTGTATATCACTGCACTAGAATATACAGTATTTCTTTACAGAGTTAGAGATTTTAAATGTAATATTTCGTGCACGGTAGAGGTTTAAAACAGAAGCAGGTGATTTCTGTGAGAATATTCAACCTCACGCCACAATTATCTTTCAATATTAACCTGAATGTTCCGGAAGCCCTGGGCTCGGTCTCTCTGCTGAAGGACGAGGGACCAGAACGAGACCGTGACGAGAGGTGAATATTCAGAGCTGGACGGATCATTGTGAGGTCCGTGTTTTTCTGAATGGAGTTTGCATGGTCTCCTCGTGCCTGCGTGGGTTTTCACTACCGCTAAAACCATGTGAGTTAATGTGTATAATAATAAAAATGTGAACAAGAAAGAGAGTGAGATTTAAGTGATGGAGCTTTATGTTTTGTTGAATTAGATTGATGTCTCCTTTGTCTTGTTTTGTTGGTTTTTCAGTCGAGTCATGTATGTTCTGTGTGGGATTGTACTTTGTTGTTTTTGGGTGAATTTTGACTTTTTGTCGTCTTCTTGTTTGTTTGTCTAATAATAATGTAAATAATAAAGTAAGAAATATATGCTTGTATCGTTGGTGAGTTATTTTCAGTGGTTCTCGGTGATTCTCGGTGAAGTGTGTTGTGTAAAAACTGCCTCTTTCTGACAAACGGAGGCAGAACAGTCTGTGCTGCAGAACACGAGGAGCTGACCAGAGATGAGCCATCTGTGAGGCTGGCACCGCTAACACACGCCAACACACACAGACTAACACAGGATAACACACACAGGCTAACACACACACAGGCTAACACACACACAGGCTAACATACGCTAACACACAGGCTAACACAGGATAACACACACACAGGCTAACACACACACACACACACACACACAGACTAACACACACAGACACACTAACACAGGCTAACACACACACACACACACACACTAACACAGGATAACACACACACAGGCTAACACACAGGCTAACACACACACAGGCTAACACACACACACACACAGACTAACACAGGCTATCACAGGATAACACACACTTACACACACACACTAACACACACACAGGCTAACACACACAGAGTGACACACACAGACTAACACAGGCTAACACACACACACACTAACACAGGCTAACACACACACAGGCTAACACACACAGAGTAACACACACACACACAGACTAACACAGGCTAACACACACAGAGTAACACACACACACACAGACTAACACAGGCTAACACACACACACACTAACACAGGCTAACACACATGATTGCACACATTCTTACACACATACTTACACACACACACTATTCTGCTGCTGTTGTCTGATTATTACAATAATTACCTTTTTAAAAGGATACATTTTATTTTTGCTGCTACTGGACTCCTGACTATCTCCTACGGGATCAATAAGGTTTTCATCCATCCATCCATCCATCCATCCATCCATCCATCCATCCATCCATCCATCCATCCATCCATCCATCCATCCATCTCACACTTTGGCACACACACTAATGGACCATGGACTACCTCACTGCAGGACCGTCTCTCTGGCCTCTCTCTCTCTCTCTGGTCTCTCTCTCTCTCTCTCTCTCTGGTCTCACTCTGTCTCTGTCTCTCTCTCTGGTAGTAGTAGTAGTAGTAATCTTTATTTATATACCGCCTTTTCACTGCACATCAGAGTCTCAAAGCGGTTTACAATTGTTATTTTTTGGGAGTGGGGGTGCCAGTATAGGAGGCACATGCCAGAACTATTGTACATATTTTTAGTGGTAGGGGAAACCGGAGCACCCGGAGGAAACCTACGCAGACACGGGGAGAACATGCAAACCTCACTCAGAAAGGCCCTGGTCCAACCGGGATTCGAACCCAGGACCTTCTTGCTGAGAGGCATGAGTGCTATCCACTCAGCCACCGTGCCGCTCTGGTCTCTCTCTGTCTCTGGTCTCTCTCTCTCTCTGGTCTCTCTCTCTCTCTCTCTCTCTCTGGTCTCTCTCTCTCTCTCTCTCTCTGGTCTCTCTCTGTCTCTGTCTCTCTCTCTCTCTGGTCTCTCTCTGTCTCTCTCTCTCTCTCTGGTCTCTCTCTGTCTCTCTCTCTCTCTCTGGTCTCTCTCTCTCTCTCTCTCTCTGGTCTCTCTCTCTCTCTCTCTCTCTGGTCTCTCTCTGTCTCGGTCTCTCTCTCTCTCTCTGGTCTCTCTCTGTCTCTCTCTGGTCTCTCTCTCTGGTCTCTCTGGTCTCTCTCTGGTCTCTCTCTGGTCTCTCTCTGGTCTATCTCTGGTCTATCTCTGGTCTATCTCTGGTCTATCTCTGGTCTATCTCTGGTCTATCTCTGGTCTATCTCTGGTCTATCTCTGGTTCTGTCTCCACTGTGAGACTAAAAAAGGTTTATCTTATCTGTATCTATACCAGCAGTGATTTTAAACCAGTGTGCACATGGTACAACCTCCTTGGTCCAAATACAGTGAAAAGAAAACATTTCAGTTTGATCCTCTACATAACACTCCTTACCTTGGGTGTTGCCAAAGCTCTTCTGGACACTGTTTTCTTGGCACAGCCGGTCCCCCTGGCCCCCCATGGTGCCCCCCATGGTGCCGTAGTCGTCCTGCAGCTTGTTGTGGTTGTGTTTGGGGGTAGAGTTGAAGGAGGACATGTGGACGTTGGGCTCGTCCTCGTCACAGTCGTAGTCGTCCAGGATGGGGGTCTCGCGGATGGGCATGCCGATCACGGAGCTGCTGTGCTGGTGGCTGTTCCGGGGGCCCCTGTAGCTGTCCCTGCCCTGGGGCCCCAGCAGCACCGAGGGGATGTAGTGGATCTCGTGCGTGGCCTCGGTGCTGGCGCTCTTCTGCGGGGCCCGGCGCCGTTTGCACCAGCGATGGCGAGTGTAGAGGACCAGGGTGAAGAGCAGGATGAGGAGGAGGAGAGCGATGAGGCCTCCCTGGGGACGATACACACACAGACCCAGACACACACAGACCCAGACACACACAGACCCAGACACACACAGACCCAGACACACACAGACCCAGACACACACAGACCCAGACACACACAGACCCAGACACACACAGACCCAGACACACACAGACCCAGACACACACAGACCCAGACACACACAGACCCAGACACACACAGACCCAGACACACACAGACCCAGACACACACAGACCCAGACACACACAGACCCAGACACACACAGACCCAGACACACACAGACACAGACACACACAGACCCAGACACACACAGACCCAGACACACACAGACCCAGACACACACAGACACAGACACACACAACATAAGCAAGGGTTAGATTTGGTTTATTCTTTCCATTGAGAATCTATTTTAATGACAAATGTTTTAGTTTAGTTCTGGTCTCTCTCTGGTCTCTCTCTGGTCTCTCTCTCTGGTCTCTCTCTCTGGTCTCTCTCTGGTCTCTCTCTCTGGTCTCTCTCTCTGGTCTCTCTCTCTGGTCTCTCTCTCTGGTCTCTCTCTCTGGTCTCTCTCTCTGGTCTCTCTCTCTGGTCTCTCTCTCTGGTCTCTCTGGACAAACTTAAAACTGTGGATTCCAGACGTCCTTTGAATGAAGTCATGTGACCTCCGCACAGAGTCATGTGACCTCCGCACAGAGTCATGTGACCTCCACACAGAGTCATGTGACCTCCGCACAGAGTCATGTGACCTCCGCACAGAGTCCTGTGACCTCCGCACAGAGTCATGTGACCTCCACACATGGTCATGTGACCTCCGCACAGAGTCATGTGACCTCCGCAGAGTCATGTGACCTCCACACAGAGTAATGTGACCTCCGCACAGAGTCATGTGACCTCCACACAGAGTCCTGTGACCTCCACACATGGTCATGTGACCTCCGCACAGAGTCATGTGACCTCAGAACTGCCCTCCGTGTTATTTCATCCTTTTGTTTCTTGTTCCAAAAACACTCACAATGATCTGAAAACAACTCTGGCACCGCTTCACGGTTCATTCATCCAAAAGCCAACGCCATTACAGCAGTGACCGGGTCAGAGCCGAGCCTCCGGTGGGAAATGAAAGAAAGGGCTTTAGGAGAACCACAGCGAGACGAGCTTTTCACAGCCACAGAGACAAGTGAGCTACTGCACTTTGGATTAGCTCTCTGTTTATGCTAGCTCATACCTATGTCTCCTCCTGGTTAGACTATAGTAATGTATTAGCTCTCTGTTTATGCTAGCTCATACCTATGTCTCCTCCTGGTTAGACTATAGTAATGTATTAGCTCTCTGTTTATGCTAGCTCATACCTATGTCTCCTCCTGGTTAGACTATAGTAATGTATTAGCTCTCTGTTTATGCTAGCTCATACCTATGTCTCCTCCTGGTTAGACTATAGTAATGTATTAGCTCTCTGTTTATGCTAGCTCATACCTATGTCTCCTCCTGGTTAGACTATAGTAATGTATTAGCTCTCTGTTTATGCTAGCTCATACCTATGTCTCCTCCTGGTTAGACTATAGTAATGTATTAGCTCTCTGTTTATGCTAGCTCATACCTATGTCTCCTCCTGGTTAGACTATAGTAATGTATTAGCTCTCTGTTTATGCTAGCTCATACCTATGTCTCCTCCTGGTTAGACTATAGTAATGTATTAGCTCTCTGTTTATGCTAGCTCATACCTATGTCTCCTCCTGGTTAGACTATAGTAAGTCCCTGAAGCCTTCAGAAGAGTGAACATGTTCAGAGCGCTGTCCAGGGTGCTGACGACGACATTTGATTTGCTCCAAAATATTCATGATTTATATTTTGAAGCTACAAGAATCTGCTCATGTCCTGTTTGAAAACACATGATACTTGACTATTTTTAGGGTTTCTAGAAACCGTATGTCGACTGCAGCAGGAGCAGCTCTGTGCCACATTTGTGGACATTTGTGGACCCCAAGGCATTCCCAGGCCAGCTGAGAGACATAGTCCCTCCAGCGTGTCCTAGGTCTTCCCCGGGGCCTCCTCCCAGTGGGACGTGCCCGGAACACCTCCCCAGGGAGGCGTCCAGGAGGCATCCTGAACAGATGTTCCGAGAGCCAGATGTTGGGTGTGTGGACTGGGTCGCCGAGGTCTCCGCCTTCGACTGCTGCCCAGTCCTCTCAGCACCGCGCCACCACGGCCCCCTCTGCAGGTGGAGGGCCCACAGGAGGGACTGCCCACGTCGTCCCTTCGGGCTGAGCCCGGCCGGGCCCCGTGGGCTAAGGCCCGGCCACCAGGCGCTCGCATACGAGCCCCGACCCCAGGCCTGGCTCCAGGGTGGGGCCCCGGCTGCGCCATGCCGGGCGACGTCACTGGTCTCATTTTAGTGCTGTCCATGGTGGTTTTTGGACCGCTCTTCGTCTGAGACCTGTCTGCCATGGGAGGCCCTACCAGGGGCATGAAGCCCCAGACAGCATAGCTCCCAGGATCACCCGAGTACTCAAACTCCCCCACCACGTTAAGGTCCAGGGGGGAGGGTAAAAGTATCTCTCTCTGGTAAAAGTATCTCTCTCGGGTAAAAGTATCTCTCTCGGGTAAAAGTATCTCACTCTGGTAAAAGTATCTCTCTCTGGTAAAACTATCTCTCTCTGGTAAAAGTATATGTCTGTGGGAAAAGTATCTCTCTCTGGTAAAAGTATCTCTCTCTGGTAAAAGTATCTCTCTCTGGTAAAAGTATCTCTCTCTGGTAAAAGTATCTCTCTCGGGTAAAAGTATCTCACTCTGGTAAAAGTATCTCTCTCTGGTAAAACTATCTCTCTCTGGTAAAAGTATATGTCTGTGGGAAAAGTATCTCTCTCTGGGAAAAGTATCTCTCTCTGGGAAAAGTATCTCTCTCTGGGAAAAGTATCTCTCTCTGGGAAAAGTATCTCTCTCTGGTAAAAGCATCTGTCTCTGGTAAAAGTATCTCTCTCTGGGGAAAAGTATCTCTCTCTGGGGAAAAGTATCTCTCTCTGGGGAAAAGTATCTCTCTGGTAAAAGTATCTCTCTGGTAAAAGTATCTCTCTCTGGTAAAAGTATCTCTCTCTGGTAAAAGTATCTCTCGTAAAAGTATCTCTCTCTGGTAAAAGTATCTTTCTCTGGTAAAAGTATCTCTCTCAGGTAAAAGTATCTCTCTCTGGTAAAAGTATCTCTCTCTGGTAAAAGTATCTCTCTGGTAAAAGTATCTTTCTCTGGTAAAAGTATCTCTCTCTGGTAAAAGTATCTCTCTCTGGTAAAAGTATCTCTCTCTGGTAAAAGTATCTCTCTCTGGGAAAAGTATCTCTCTCTGGGAAAAGTATCTCTCTCTGGTAAAAGTATCTTTCTCTGGTAAAAGTATCTCTCTCTGGTAAAAGTATCTCTCTCTGGTAAAAGTATCTCTCTCTGGTAAAAGTATCTGTCTCTGGTAAAAGTATCTGTCTCTGGTAAAAGTATCTCTCTCTGGTAAAAGTATCTGTCTCTGGTAAAAGTATCTCTCTCTGGTAAAAGTATCTGTCTCTGGTAAAAGTATCTCTCTCTGGGAAAAGTATCTCTCTGGTAAAAGTATCTGTCTCTGGACGACCAGCAGCTCATTCATCTCTGTGTTTATGATTCCATCTGTATGTGGGAAAACAAAGCCTCTCACTGCACGTCCAGAGGAGACGTCCATAAATCAGCGTTAAAGAGAGAGACAGAGAGAGAGAGACTCCGCCGCAGACTGACGCCACAATCACAGCGTTCCACAGAAGAAGAAGAAGAAGAAGAGGGTGACGGCGATGTTTCATTTCAGAGAAGGACTGATAACGCTCGACTCTGAGTTTGCACTTTTTACGATGAGAAATGGTCGCTCAAGTTTTGCATCAGCAGCAAATAAGAAGGAGGAGGAGAAGGAGGAGAAAAATATGGAGGAGAAGAAGCAGAAGAAGAAGGAGAAGAATGAGAAGGAGAAGAAGGAGAAGAGGGAGAAGAAGACGAAGGAGGAGGAGGAGAAAAAGAAGGAGAAGAAGAAGAAGAGGGAGAAGAATGTGATTTAGCTCGAGTCATTACTAGAACCAGGAAGTACGACCACATTAGTCCAGCCCTCTCCCTGACCTCACACGAAAGTACATCTGTGACATGCTCGAACTCTGAGGAGCACAGGGACTGGCCTCCTGCTGGGACTCTCAGGAGCACAAGGACTGGACTCCTGCTGGGACTCTGAGGAGCACAGGGACTGGCCTCCTGCTGGGACTCTCAGGAGCACAAGGACTGGACTCCTGCTGGGACTCTGAGGAGCACAGGGACTGGCCTCCTGCTGGGACTCTGAGGAGCACAGGGACTGGCCTCCTGCTCGGACTCTGAGGAGCACAGGGACTGGCCTCCTGCTCGGACTCTGAGGAGCACAGGGACTGGCCTCCTGCTGGGACTCTGAGGAGCACAGGGACTGGCCTCCTGCTGGGACTCTGAGGAGCACAGGGACTGGCCACCTGCTGGGACTCTGAGGAGCACAGGGACTGGCCTCCTGCTCGGACTCTGAGGAGCACAGGGACTGGCCTCCTGCTGGTCCCAGAGTCAGGACTAGATATGGAGAGGCAGCGTTCCAGAGCAGTCTTCCCGAAGGTGTGAGACAGGCTGCTCCCCTCGCTGTATTCAAGTCCAGGCTGAAAATGGGTCTTTTCAGCGGTGCCTAAGACTGATCATCAGGCAGGTGACCAGAAAGAGACCAGAGAGAGACCAGAGAGAGACCAGAAAGAGACCAGAAAGAGACCAGAGAGAGAGACCAGAGAGAGAGACCAGAGAGAGACCAGAGAGAGACCAGAGAGAGACCAGAGAGAGACCAGAGAGAGACCAGAGAGAGACCAGATATTAAGATTTAGATTAAGACACATTTAGCAAAAATTGAGCCATTTTCAACTTTTCATCACTTTTTGCAGTGCACTCTCTCTGGTCTCTCTCTCTCTGGTCTCTCTCTCTCTGGTCTCTCTCTCTCTCTGGTCTCTCTCTCTCTGGTCTCTCTCTCTCTCTGGTCTCTCTCTCTCTCTGGTCTCTCTCTCTCTCTGGTCTCTCTCTCTCTCTGGTCTCTCTCTCTCTCTGGTCTCTCTCTCTCTGGGCTCTCTCTCTGGTCTCTCTCTGGTCTCCCTCTCTCTGGTCTCTCTCTCTCTGGTCTCTCTCTCTCTGGTCTCTCTCTCTCTGGTCTCCCTCTCTCTGGTCTCTCTCTCTCTGGTCTCTGGCTGTTGTGTAAACCTCCTCCCTCTGTTGTGTGTCTGTTTCCATTGCTCTGGGTGTTTGATGAGGTCTTTTCTCCCGTTTTCAGCCCAGAGTCGTCGTAAATCCGCTGTGGCAGATGCAGGCGTGAGGGGAAATTGGTTTTCTGTTCATCTCCCGTTCGACAAATCCCCAGCGCCGCTTTGGTTCTAAGTGAAAGCAGCTGGACGTCCCATGATTCTCAGCTCCTCTGAATGTGTCTGTTCGGACTCTCACCTGATTATTCTCCACTTTCTTTCACTTTAGGTCAATTTGTCTCATTCTTTGTCACGGTTTTCAAAAGAAGAAATGGTTCTGGAGCTACAGTATGTACACATGTATACATTTATATATAAAGGAGAGAGAGGAGAGGCTGGGGAGAGACAAGAGAGAGACAAGAGAGAGACAGAGAGAGACATGGGAGAGACAAGAGAGAGGCCAGCGAGAGAGCAGAGAGACTAGAGAGAGAGACCAGAGAGAGACCAGAGAGACCTTAGAGACCAGAGAGAGAGACCTTAGAGAGAGACCAGAGAGAGACCTTAGAGAGAGACCAGAGAGAGACCAGAGAGAGACCTTAGAGAGAGACCAAAGAGAGAGACTAGAGAGAGACTAGAGAGAGACCAGAGAGAGACCAGAGAGAGACTAGAGAGAGATTAGAGTGAGATCGGAGAGAGACCAGAGAGAGACTAGAGAGAGATTAGAGAGAGACAAAAGAGAGACTAGAGAGAGATCAGAGAGACCAGAGAGAGACGGTACTCGGCACGGTGGCTGAGTGGATAGCACTCTCGCCTCTCAGCAAGAAGGTCCTGGGTTCAAATCCCGGTCGGACCAGGACCTTTCTGAGTGGAGTTTGCATGTTCTCCCCGTGTCTGCGTAGGTTTCCTCCGCGTGCTCCGGTTTCCCCTACAACTAAAAATATGTACAATAGGTCCGACATGTGCCTCCTGTACTGGCCCCACTCCCAAAAATAACAATTGTAAACCGCTTTGAGACTCCGATGTGCAGTGAAAAGGCGGTATATAAATAAAGATTACTTACTTACTTACCAGAGAGAGACCTTGTTTTAAAAAGATACAAGACATTAAAGTGAATAAAAAAGACCAAGCAGGAGCACACACACGTCTTCAGCTTTAAGGACCAGTTTGACGTTTTTCAGTCTTAATTCAAAAC